TTTATAGAGAGCATTAAACTAGTTTTTTGTCCCCGAGGGAAACTATTGCCCCATTGTTTAAGTTTTCTTTTCACAGAGCTGAGGAATGGCCCTGATAAAGTGTGGTCGGGGCCTTGTCTTCGTGGCCATACCTAGACTCATGTGAGCACATCAGAGAACTGTCTCTCCCGACAGGGATCTATGATGTCTTTCCCCCACCTTCCTTGTGAAATGGCGATTTGTTGTCCCCAAGTCACAATAAGATCTGTGATTGCCTTTTCTAAAAGAGCTTCTCTCACACATGGCAGCAACAAAATATGTACTTTATTCCCCAGGAATCTTAGGTGTCTGCCCACTGAGCAGCCCAGAGGAGATGTGGGTTACGATTTGAACTCAATCATACCAATTATTTCTGTTCAAAGGAGGGCATTTTTAAAAGTTGGATAACTCCCCCACTTGAGGCAAATATACGGTCATCCAACTAGAAAAGGTGTTTGTGTGTTTGGGCAAAAGGGATGGGGATGCGGATCTGTGCACTAGGTTAGCTACAGAAACAGTACGTAAGGGACAGATTGCACGAATCCAGCAGCCGCTTGGGCTCTAGCCTCTACTAGCAGGGACAGAACATGTGATTTCATTGGCCCTTTTGTGTATATTAAACAACCCATCTTACCTTGCTTTCTGGCATTTGCATTTGTGACCATAGTAAAAAATCTGCAACTATTTTTGCATAGGACCTGGTTTCCTGTCCGCATTCAGCTCCTGGCCTACAGGGCCACTATGTCTGTCAGGCTCACAGCATAGGCAGCCAGCTCTCCAGAAAACCTCTGGCCAGTCCCATGCCCACCACTGGGGTCAGTTTTGAAGTTCTTCGCACAAAGGAGGATGGGTTTTTAAGAGATTTCTTCGGAGAAGGGCCCCAGGAGCAAGCAGCGGCAGGGGAAGTAGATATGCTACCCCCTCTCAGGCATGCTGGAGGGACTGACTCATGCAGGAGAAACGGGCTGGTTTGGCAATTTGTGGTCTGGGGGTGGTAGAAGTCATAGCCGGCTCTCTCTTTCCGGACTTAGGCTAGTAAATCCCTCTTCTGAAAAGTCATTAGTCTCTCAAGTTCGGATTTCAAGTCTTCCCTGGCCCGAGGCATGGTAGCAGATGGCTGGGGGTATGGGAAAAAAAGGCTGTTTGGGGCCAACAACCCCCTCTGACAATCTTGAACCCAGCCCAGCTGGTTGCCTTGGTAGGGGAGCTGCCAACTGTACCTCTAGTCCAGGTCTAGGATAGCTCTGGCCCTGATGGCCAGGCCTGGGGATTCAGAACACAGTGGTTCTGGGGCCACAGCAGTTCTCAGGGGCTGGGCTCCCGCCACATAGACTGTTGATCCGGTCTTGGGAAGCCATCCTGGTCAGTCAGTGAGGAATGGGTGTGGACCATTGCTCGGTGTGCTGTGCCACCGTCAGGGCCACTGCAGTGCTTCAGTGCACTTTTGTGGCACTCGTGGCAAAGCCTCTTGCTGAGAATGTCCTCATTTTTGCTGACCCTTCATTTGACCAGACATGACATCTAGTTATTAGTCTTTCTTGACGATGCTCAAAGTAAGTGAGCCCAAGTCTCACTCACCAAGAGGAAAATTCTGGTGATAAATCTTATTGTAAGATTGGTTTGCTTGTCTTCTGACAGGC